TAAAAATAATGCAGAAGAAGTGAGAGCTGAACTGTTCAAGAACGTATTTCTGATCTTTAGCAAGTAAAAAACATGTTATTATCATGGAGTAATTATTATCATTAATAAAAGACTTATTGATGAAAACAATGAGAAATAACTTTTTCTTTAAATGTAAAACTTTTCAATTCGTTCTTTCCTAAATTTTAGTTATTTAATTTACATTCAGTTTTGTTTTATTTACACCCCACATAATCACAACAACAGTCACCTAAAGCCCACAAAGACTCTGCACAAAATAGAGATGAATGCAGAGAACACCCCAACAATAAAAACTACCCCCCATTAACAAGCACATGGCAACAGTTGGAAGGAAAAGCTCTCTTTCAACAGGAAGAAGCCTCCAGCCCAACCAGGCTCAGGGAGGGGCAGCCAGCTGCTGTGACCACCTGTGGGTGAGGGAAGGAGGAAAGGACAAAAGACGTGCTGTGGAAGAGAGCCAGAGATTAATAATGACTCATAATTAAAAGCTGAGAGGTGTGTAAACACACAGAGTGAGGAAGAAACATCATGAGAAGCTATCAGCAGCAACAATAAAATAAAACATATCAAAGCCTGTCACATCACACAGCACTGTCACTAAGCTCCTGGCCCGTTTCTATGCATTAACATTACTGTCATCTTGTGGCCACAGTCAGCTACTGACGCTGAAAATCTAAACTCTAAAGCATAAACGTGTCAGTTCCTGCCTCTCAATATAAAAAAAGGAAAAACTGTTTGTGCACTAAATAAAAAGTTACACTTACCTTGAGGATTTTTCATTTTGTTTTGTTCGTTCTTATTTTTCCACCCTTACCTTGCTTGGCATTTCCCATTTACCTTTTTTTACTTCCATATCTTGGGAATTTGTTTGTACCTTTTATTTATTCCTTTAAATTTTACCTTTTATTATAATTTTATTTAGACTTGTTGCCCATGTTTGTGTTGTAGGAGCACATGTGGTTGTCTGCTTTGATAATCAGCACCCAGATTTGATCCACCGCCACCCTGGTGTTAGTCATGCTCCTGTTCCACTTGGCTTTCTTCAGTACTGGATGGCAAGCTGGGTTTAAAGATTAATGAGCTTCATTTTATTTATTTTACCTGCAACGATCGTTAGGATTGAATGAAGAATCCTCCAGAAGGGAGAAAAATGTCTTCCACCAAGAATACCCATGTGAACACGTGTTTTATGTGTGTTTTTTCATTCAAATATGCACTTAGTTGCATAGATGTTCATCTCTTTTACGCTTCCTGAATCATGATCTGAACGAATGCTGTCAACATTTTATTTGTGAAAAAAACCTTTTAAAAAACTGGCAAATATTAACTGAAAATGTGTCTGTGAAGGTTCTCAGTCATCCAGGTCATCGTAGTCAAAGGAGCTTGCAAAGAAAAGCGTCTGGACTGAAGAAGTCCAGACGCTTTTCTTTGCAAGCTCCTTTGACTTAACTGAAAATGGAAACAACAAATGCTGAAAATCAGACAATTTGGAATACATGCATAAAGTTTACTTACAGTATCAAAGTAGAAGATTTTACACCTTTACCAAAACGTTTGAGGCACAAATGAGTGTTTTGGGTTATTATTTCATTAAAATAAACATGTTTTTAATAAAAAAAAAAAAAAACTCTACAGTGAGCTAAATTTAAGTCACAGGAATGTATAAAAATAATGTTGAAAGAAAATAACACACAATGAGCCTGTTAAAACACAGGATTTAATTAAATGTGTCAGATGCTGAACACAGTCACGTGACTGATCACAAAGCAAAAAAAAGGGAAAAAAGTGTCAGTTTTAGTGTCATTTTCAAAAAAAACCCCAAAAGACTGACAGGACTGTGCAAACACTGATAATCTGGTTTGATGCACCGATGTGATTTAGTCAAAACTTTGGTGACCTATGATTGCATCTAACAGAGGAAACCCAACGTTAACGTCCCAGGTGGAAAACAGCGCTGTCCAGAGTCTTAAAAAGGTCCTTCAGTGGAGTCACCCCCACCCTCCCACGCCCCCTCTTTTCTTTCCTAGAGCAGTGCATCTCTCTCGGGTCGGTGTGGTGGTTGATCTCCGGTGTTGCTGGTTCCAGTGGCAGCTTGTACGTGCCAGAGTTTTTAACCTGTGGTTCGGTCACGCCTGGACTGCTGAGGGTCGGCCCAGCTGTTACCTCTGAGGAGTTCTGAGGAGTTTGAAAAGAAAGCTGGTCGTCTGTTGAGCGTGCAGACGCCTTCACGGTGGGCCGACTGCTGGACGTCTGAGGAGCAGAGCACAAAGAAATAAATAGAAAAACTCACAATATTCAGGTGTAAATCATCTCTGATCAGTGTCTGTGTAAAAACTCTCACACGAACACTAAACCGCTGAAACAAACAGACTTCAGAGGCCAAACTGCTTTTTTACAGCAGTAACTAACAAACCAAGACAGGATTACACCACCAACTCCAAACAGGGCCCCTCACCATTTGAAAAATACTAACTAAATACTAACCAAACAATGCTGAAATGCAGTATTATATTTGACTGCCTATGAACAATAATCTGAAAGGTGATTTTGAACAGTCGGCCCTGCAGCCGTCCCAGCCCATTGTGACCAATTTGTCACATTTTTATTTTATATTTTTCTCTCCAATTATTCGATTAGCTTAATGCATACGTACCTAAATCTTAAAATAGATAAATGTGTACAATCACCACTGAAAATAAACAGACAATAAATGTGAGCAGTGACAAAACTTATGTTAAAAGCTGTATTTTCTTCCTACCAGTCTCAAAAATATAGTCTTTCATCAAATTTATGGGAAATTTAAGTTATTTTATGCTCTTAATTTTGTTGATTTTTCAGGCTTTAAAACTTTTGAAGAGCTCTCGGGAACCTTGTCGATGTAAAGAATTACTGCCTGTGGAGGCTGATTAGGCTGAAGAGAGCATCTACTTCTCTTCCACACTAACAGTCTGGCAGATAAAGAAGTACAGTTTGAACTGACCCTGATTCTTTGAGCAGATTCTTTCTGCTTCTTCTTCTTTCTGCTCAGTTTGGGGGCGTGGCCTAAACCTAAACTGTTTTATGTTAAACATGCATTCACGTACCCGATGCTTCTTTTCTTCGTGCTGTTGTTTTCCAAAAGTGTGCCCGACACGACCTTTGTCGTTCATTTCTAGTTCTGAAATTTAAAAAAAACAAACAAACAGATTTCTGTTTCATTCCACTAAAATTTTATTTAAAGTATTTAATGTTTTTAGCGGGCGTGAATAAACGGCGCACCACTGATCTGAATGCCACCCCGCTGCTCTCCATCCTCCTGGTATGGGCTCAGGCTCACAAACAGGGATTTCAGGACTGAATCCTTAGGCGCCCCTATGGCAGGTGTTAAGAGCACATTTTAGACACACAAATGGACAGTAGGGCTGCCACAAACGATTATTTTGATAGTCGACTAGTCACTGATTATTTTTGCGATTAGTCGACTAATCAGATCATCATCCATTGGAC